AATAATCTTTCTGTAAAAATCAATTTCATCAAAGTGATAAATGACAGGAAAATTGAATTTGAGCGAGGTAAGTGAAAATTTAGTTGTACATGTACTAAAGTGTCAACGACCTTTTCATCTATAAATCAACAGGGGTCATCTTTTGGCCACAGGGAGTTGTTATGTAAAGTTTCATTGCCAAAAGTCAAAGAATGCTTGATATATCTATATAGCGCGCGATAGAAAGTGTTGAAACAGGCAGAAGTCTTCGAACAAGGACCTCAACCTTAAGCCTTTTGACCTCAAAACAACTACACTGTACGTTTTCTCTTTAGGCCATAAGGAGTTGCTGTGTAAAATGTCACAGGAAAGCTCAAAGAGTTCTCGAGATATTGCACGAACAGGAAAGCGTTACAGATAGGTAGAAATACGGAAAGACGGGCAGCTAGAAGGACGGAAGGGCGGAGACTGTAAGAGAGACCCAGATTAATATCTCCACTTTAATTTCAGTGAAAGATGGAGACAACAGAAAAATCTGATAATGCAAGGAATCTTTTTACTTAAGCTATGACACTTGATTGACTGACTATTTGTTCTTTTAGGTCACTTTCGGGATTTATTTTCTTTTATATATAAAATAACATCACATATAATTTAGACCCTTTCTTCGCACGTAAGCCATGGAGCAGTTAGAGTTCATTATCGCGCAAATGCTAACAATAAAACGGGGCTAAGGCATTTTACGTCATATCCAAAGGGCTCACATCCGTCACTTCAAAGTACTGAGAGCTTGGCGAAGAAACACTTGCTACCGATTCTTTTATCAACTAAGGTTAATTGAAGCCGTGATTCGAACACACATTCGTCACGCTCGGAGCATGCACTCTACCGACTGAGCTGCCATGACGATTTTTAGGCACTTGATTACTTCGCTTTTTCTGTAATTCGTTATAACCGTATACGAAATTTATTCAATGTACATGTACATGTATATAGCTAGGGATAAAAATAACTTTGTTACATATAAATGCTGTATATCCGTGAATTCGAAATATCCGTGTTCGTACTAATAACGAATTCTACTGTATATTTATTTAATCTAAGTATATATCAAGTCAAACGCACTACCGCGTACCGATTCATTTTTTTTTCTTTTTCTTTAAATACGTCAGTTGGTAGGAAAAATAAGTACTTTTGTTTTACAGGATTCTTCTACTTTGTACAGTTACATGGGAGTTGTATAAAGCGAAGCGTTGAACTCCCTCGAGCGAGAAATTGCTAAATTATATAGATCAAATTATGATAAAGCACTTATGAATCTAAAATCAGATTTAATTGAAAATATATCAAATCAACTAGATATCTGCGTTTGTAAATTTGGATATGTTATGGACCTAGATTTTTTTTTTTAATTTATTTTCGTATCAACCAACGAAAAGCAAGATGTAACGTTTAGAAAATTATTTCCTACTGTTGTGTCTATGAAATTTCACGACGTTAAACTTTGAAATTTGAGAGTGAAGTTGAAAAAACCTGCATATAATTTTTCACTACATTTTTTTATCTTTAGTCGGGTGAGGCAAACATCGACTTTTCCGTACAAATTTTTTTTAATACAAGCTCCTCTTTCTTTTGACGAAACTTAATGCACAGCTGTATCCTTGCTTAAAGGTCAAGTAGTTGATCATGTAATATCACTTAGTGTGAGGAATACAATATTGCGAAAATTTAGTTTTCCTGTTTATATCTTTATTAACAAAGATGATTTTAGATTGAAGGAAAATAGTTTGTGTATAGTTTATCTGTGATTTTCCAATAGTTTTTGTGGACTGTGATTGTCACGTCACCGCGCAAGTGAATTTCGACGAAAACACTGAAGTGGTAAGATTCTGTCTTTTTCTTAAATTTCTCGATCTCAAAAATTGAATTTGCATTTGACCCTGGCATGAAAACTGTAAACTGTAAACTTTCCTGAATTCATATCAAGAGGGATCATTCTTAAAAGTTAGTTAGGCAAAAACACACAACAGTTCGTCAAAACATACAAAGTGTCAAGTGCTTCCTTGTCCCCTACTTGAATGTTGTTTTTTTTTTGTTCTTGTAAGACAGACATTGTCATAGGCGTTATCGTTATCAAATTTACAATTCCTACTACAATATAAACCACTGAATAAAAAATAATGAACCTTTCACCTCAGTTTCATAATTTTGTGTTTATGTTCATCGCTTATCTTATGTTCTGATCAGACAGCAATTTGGGATTTATGGTTGCAATTCAATTTATTGTTATCTTCATGATCAAAAAGTTGGCAAACTAATTGACAAACTTCCATATAATTATATTTAAAATCTAAAGTAAATGATATCTCAGTTATTTAATATTTATATTATTACTGAAATATTCAACTATTTCTCACTGTGTAAATTTGAGGTCTGTGATAGCAAATTGCTTAATTAAAACACATTTCTTCTCAAACTTGCTTACACTGGGCATACTACATGTATTATTTTTAAACACAGATCTACCTTCTCTCATTATAACGATCAATCAAATCATTAATTCAATTTATAGAATTTGACTTAATAAACTGTGCACAAATTATTTTACGCTACTGCAAAAGGGTTTCTAAGAAATAAAATACATTCCACAGTCATTTGTTGAATGAGTAGGACTGAGACAACAGTTTTCCGTTACAAGTGACCTACATAGTTGAGTCATTTTCACATTGTGATGTCTCAAACAAGGAGCTAAACGTTATTCAGATTCAGCTATTTATTAAACTCTTGTATGGCTATGTGTGTACCAATTTATTTTCAGATCTGATTTGTGGTTTCGTAGATATAGAGATAGTTTGCGAATTTTTTAATCACCCTTCGTATTATTTTATTCAAATTATAAAAATAGGCTAAATGTCTGACTGTGATATTTTTAATGATGATCATAATAAATTGTTTATTTTATACATTTAGCTGAATATTCACTTAAATTTTGAAAAAAAAAATAACGAACTTTACAGTAGAGGCTAAATAAGAAAATTGAATACATCATGTGAAAAACAAAGACGGTTATCCACCATTATTTAGCCTTAGAATCAGCTACCACACATGGTTTGCTGTATGTACCGACATTTTCTTAAATATTCAGCAACGGCGCACAAGTCTGATACATGTATAGGATGTTCAAGTAGGAACGATGTGATGCAATATTGATGATACTGAACAAAAAAACCCTAAAGATTATTCGAATCTTGGCATACTTACATGTAGAACATTTCAATTTCTCATCCCATCCACCCCTCCGAAAATACCTAATACATTGTATTTCTTTAGCATTTAACACTTACATATAAGAATGCATTGTGATATAAACTGTTAACGAAAATTGTCAAATTTTGCTTCTAAAATAAATTTACATTGTTTTTTACATTCATTTCATTCTTTTTTCTTTGAGAAGCAGTTTGTTAAATCTTTGGTTTATTAATTTTTTTTTAGATTTTCACACGACAACATTACAATTTTGCTTAACTTTACTTGATGAGTAAGATTTTTTCTTCATTCGATTAGCAAATACGTAAAAAAATTAAGAATTATCTCCGTTTTGAAACATCATAACGTCCACAAACTGACACTCTTAAAGATCATTCCCAGATAATCTACATATAACTAAAGTACATATGTAGTTTTATTGTAGAACGGAACAGAGATAGATTAAGGGAAATTCCGACAGCATCCAAATGAGTCAAATCATATGTGAGATGTTTAAGCAGCGACAAAATTCGTTTTACACAAATAATAAAATACCTCTTATCTTTTCTTTTTGCTTTCATTATGGTGTTTTGTTGAGGGCTTTTAAGCTTACAGGAGGTTTGACTCCTCTTTTCCCTCGTTTTGATGGATTTTTTTGTCCTTATTAGCATCTCCCCGTTCTTTTTAAACTTTCCTTAAAGCTGTAGTTATTGAA